AAGATGGGGTGCAATGATATCAGAGCGAAGCATCCTCGGCTCCTTTCCCGTGCGCTTTCTTTCACGCGCGCGCGCGCGCGCGCTTCCCTTTTACGTCCTTTCACCTAGCCATATTTTTGTTCATCACACATCGTCGGCCAACTATCGCGAATACTCCGTACGTTGCCCTTTTGCCTCTGCACCGGCTCGTTTATGCTGTTTAGCATTAAACTTTAAATGTGTGATATTTATCTTTACATATTATATTTGGTTTCATTACCGAATTAATAAGCGGAAAGAGATAACAAATCAACGAAAATGTTGTTTTATATTCCTGAAAATGCGAGAAAAATTTGTATCTTTTTACTTTTTAGTATAAAAGCTATAATCCCACGCTTATTTAGATTTTGACTTCTTTAAAGGAATGTTTGATAACTTCTTGCATTCGGCAATGGCCAATGATCTATGAAATTTTCCTAGTTTTATTAGTTCTCTTTTGCTTTCTTCGATTCGAAATACATTTTTCACGCTGGCGGACATTGATTGAGTGCACCTAAAGAAAGTAATATCGTGAGAATTTACCGGTACCAAGTTTTGATCAGCATAAGATACAGTGAAAATAAGCTACTTTTCTTTTTTCTCTGACAATGTCCCACCCCCAAATTCATAATTATATCTAGTCTTTTAACTACCGAAAAATTATTACTGGGACATTTTATAATTAAAAAACGCAACTATTAACTATGAAAGAAAAATATTATAAAAAAAATTACAACATATACTATAATTAAAAAATCGATATTAATGTCTCTAAATAATCGATGTATTAAATTTTGTTTATACATTGGCTGCATGAAATATTGTAATAATAACGTCGGCAAACATAATAAATCTTATGTCGCATTAAACAGTGATAACAGGAATGTATTAACGATCTCGAAAAGCAATCTCGTCCGATGATACAGAGGGAATTTGAACGTATCGGAGAAACTGACGAGAGAATTGACATCGAGGAAATAAAAAAGGAAGCATAAGAGAGAAAGGTCAGGACGCAGCTCCGTTCAAAACGACGACAAACGAAGGTAAAGATGACTGGTCAGATTTCTTAAGTGTTGCCCCAATCAGATCCCATGTCACTCGGTTCATTAATCCATTCAGGACGAACTCTGAAAAGTTCCGTCCTGCGCCATATTACAGAATTACATTTCGTTCGCGCACTTAATGACGTGAATACGTAATGGTCGTTCGAGTCGCGCGTACTCTCGAGCGTGACGAGATCCAATCGAGTTATCATCGTTCTATATATACATACATATCTCTCGTAACCCTTTAAAGCGTACAATCCTAACGCGCGATGTCCTTAACGCACAATCTTTCGACATGATTTTTGATGCAATCAATGAAAAAAAGATATATATATATATATATATATATATATATATATATATATATTTATTTATATTTATTTATATTATTTAATAGTCTTGCACTTTCATAAATTCTTCCATTTTTCATTCTTTTATCTGTACTAAAAATGACAATTTATAATGAGAGTATATTCAAAGCAATAAACATATGTATATCCTATGTGTTATTAAGTCATGATTAATTTAAAAAAAAATCAAAAAAATTAAAGAATTTTAAATATGGCGATTTGTCAGAGCGATCATATCTCAGAACACACAAAATTTATCTTAAAATTTATCTGACTTAATGCGGGGTCAATAATGACACCAATAACAGTAAATCATCTGATATTTGACATCCTCTTCGATTACATTACGCCCTAAGTGCATCGCGCGTCCGCGAGTCGATATGGCTCGCGCGTGGCGATTATGCTCACGCGTAATATCCTGTGAGGATATATTCGCGCGCGAAAGAAGAAAATCGCATCGGGCGAAGGAGAACAAGAAGAAAGGGCCAACCACGGTGCCGATCTCGCCGGATCGCTCGCTCGACCGTGGATTTGCAAACAATGGCGCCTTAGCGCGCGGCGCGTTCTTTCGATGGCGGCTCGATACGTATCGCATTTACATATTATTGCTATTATTAGGTAAACGATCCTCCGCCGAGCGCCTCTTTAACACTACTCGCTCGCTCTCCGAACTATTTTACGACCGTGAGGCCCCGCGCGCGGCAAGGCATGGAGCTCCCTCGCCACGTTCCGATAAAAGCCTAAGCTTTAAGCTCCGACAGAGCGTTCGGTCCGGCGACAAAAATTGAAGCACCGCCCGGGCCGAGAGAGTGGGTGGCTGGAATTGTAAATAATCGTCCTGCGGGGAGATCCTTATCGGCCGTACACGGCGCTATCCTGTCCTCGCCGCCGGCGAGCGGACTATCAGTGTCCGTGGCATCTACTCCTAAATCGATTTCGAACTGGCATCTCTAAACGTATATAGATAAGTCGCGCGTTGGAAAAAGATAGATAGAGGGAGGAGTATTAACAAACGAAATATTTTGTCGAACTTAATTTTGATACTCATTTCGGAAAGTGCGATAAGTTTCTTCTAATCTACGGTTGAGCTTTTTTATTGAACGCATTATCGATTAATAATTTGTCTAACGATATCATTTAAAATATGTTTGAAATCTTCAATTGTGTGTGAGAAATGTTTTTGCATATATGCAAAAATTGTTTCAAAAAAGAAATTTTGATCTTTTTAAAACATTAATTATTTAAAACAAAATGTATGCTCTTATATATTCTTCTGTATATAATAATCATATCAACATACACACACACACACAACAGTTGCATTTTATAAATGTTTTTAGATTATTCAATATTTTCTGAAGTTCGTTATGTCAAATCTAACTGTATTAGTATCTCTAACAAACAAGTAAGAATTATATAATTTTTTTATTCACAATTTAAAAAAAAAAAAATTATGGCAAGTTCAATATCTTTTATAGGTTTCTGATACCTATGTATGATTGAGATTGATCACTCTGTATCTCCAGATATAATTACTCCGTGTTTTTTCGACATTTCTCTTTTTAAGTGCGCCAACGGCGTGACCGCGTAGCTAGACCGCATGACGCCGGGCCCGAATTAAAGCCACGCTTTTACGGCTCGGGATTCGCCCCATCGCCTCCGACGAGTTCGAACGTGGTAAAAAAAGGTTGTCTGATAAAACAGAATACGCAGAGCTTGAAGAAGAAAGAGAGAGAGAGAGAGAGAGAGAGAGAAGGACAGACACGGGAGGAAGTTCGAAATCGCGGTGAGGAGGAAGATATGGTGGAAGGATCGGGGATGGAGAGGATTGTATGCGAGTGGATACGCGCATACAATGGAGCGCCCGGGAGAAGAGGAGCCGGGGGAGAGCAAAAGCGGCGAATTAATTGTCGCTCGCGCCGCCGACGAAGCCGCTGCGATCTGCGGGGCCTGATTTGTGGACCGCGCATATATATCACCGTGGGCCACACGCACGCGTATGCGTGAATGTGTCTCTCTTTCTCTTTCTCTATCTCTATTTCTCTCTTTCGCTCTTTTCCACTCGGAATTCGCGACGGAGATTGCGAGGACGATGTGACTGTACTGAGATTGCTGCTAGTGGCTGACAATGGAAACAAGCCCAGGAAAGGAGAGGGTACGTGGAAGAAAGAAGATACGTATACAGAGGAGAAAGAGAGATGGGAGATAAAGAGGGAAGAAGAGAGAGGGAGAATAGGAGAAGAGGGAGGGAAGTACGGGAAAGAGGGACGAGGAGAGAAAACAGGAATGAGAATAGAAACGAGAGAGCGACATACGATGCTGTGGAGCGGGAGGAAGAGAAAGATGGGAAAGGGGGGAGAGGGGTGACTTAAGGATCCGCAGAAAGAAGGAACAAGGTAGAGAAGCTGGACGATACTACGAACAATGCGCCAACCGGGTCCGCGAGTTTCCCTCCGTCGTCCCTGCCTCTCCCTCCTTCTCCCTCCGTCCCTGTTTCTCGCCGCGCTCTCCGTTTCTCTTCATTCTCTTTCTTATTCTTGTTTATTATTCAATGGGGCCAGAAGGTGCTCGTTAATTGATGGCACCGGCTATGGCCGAACGGCGGCGCGGAAGAAGGAAAGAGGAAACCGAAGGGAGAGAGAAAAGAGGAATCGAAACGGACGAGGAAAGAGGAAGCGCGCGGGGAAGGATGAGTGGGAGGAGGGCAGCCTCTGGACCACCATCGCCTTATTTATAATGCCGGGGATAACCGAATTCACGATCAAAATCCCGCGTTCCGCGGCATTGATGGATCACCGTGCGCCGCGCGACGTCGCGACGACTCCGGTATTTTCAAATGAACCCGCCCCTTTTTCCTCATGATGCCTCCGCACACGAGAGGAGAAGCTGAGGGATGGGGGTGGAAGCCAGCCGTATTCCCCTGTCCTCTTCTCGCTCACCGCTCTCTCCTCCCCCTACCTTAGAATGACATCGACGAATTCCGCGGGGCAACCTGCTGCCGCCTCAGAGATGCCTCGGGGATTCGATTTCTATATGCAGGTGTTCGTTTCTTCGATCGATCGATAGCGAAGGACTGCAAGATCGAATCCTGTCCCGATGTTTTTAAAAAGCAAAAAGACATAAGATAAAAAAGTTAGTGAAATAAACATAGGTAAATTTAATTCGATTGAAGCATCTGTATTAACAGATTAACATGGATATTTATGTTGCTTAAACACAGTTTTTATCTTCAAAAAATACAGATTGCTTACACATGTCATATTGAAACAAATTTTTCATTTTAACGAATTTATTCCGGTATATTATTATTAATTTTAAAATAATTATATATTTTCCAATATTAGAATTAAATCTAAACTATATAATCGCCTTTATTATTTTTACCATTATTTTTTTATATTTATATCAATCATTTTTACTTTTTATCCAATTCCATATTTCCAAATTTTAAAAATAATTGCTAGTCCGAAAATAATTAAATATAAATTATTACACGAAATAAAAGGATATTTTATGAAACACTCTGAGTTATGTGTTTGTGCAGCATAGATGTTTTATAAAGAAAATTATTTTTGAATTGTTGCAGACTGCTCGGCCGCGGCTCTATGCACGTGTTCTCCAGCGAGCAATTTCAAAAGCTAATGGACGCAAGCGGCTTCACGGGCCCCTGGCATTCCTTAGTGGACCTCGGGGCAGGTGATGGCGCAACCACCGCCCACGTGGCGCATCTCTTCGAGAAGGTGTACGCCACGGATATCTCACCCCCCATGAGATGGGCTCTGGCGAAGAGGAAATTCACGTACGTAAATTATATTAAACACAGCAGCTCGTCTGGATTCTCTCAAATTGCCTTGATTTTTAAAACAGTATAATAATAACGATAAAAATAATAATAAATTATATCACTAGACAAGTCTATAATAAAAAATCGATATGTTATAATAAATTGAGCTTGACTCAATTTTACTTAAATGTAAATTTCTAACGTACGAAATATCTGTTTTAGAAATTTATATTTCTATGTATTTATTCCTTTTTAATTTCTGATACAAAAATATAATTTAATCCATCAATATCTAAAAATTGAAGACTAGCTTTGAAAGCTTTAATCAAATTTTGCGAATACTTTTTTATAATTTATATATGTAAATAAAATTTATATAAAAAATAAGTAACGCGCGCGTATAATTTAATTTGCCTAAAATTTGATTAGTGTAAATATTCCGAAATCTATCGTTATTACAGTCATTCTATGTGCATATGCAAAGGTTATTCGATCTGTATATCTTGAAAAGAATCCCTACTGACTGGGCGAGAATTTTTCAACTACAAAGCTCCCTTGCGAGCGCAGAGTCGCATATGCGAGAACGTGAAACAGATTACATTCTTCGAATCGAATACGAGCGACCAAAGGTGGGCGGTGGAATCTCCGTTGCTTGAACGTGTATTTGCATTTTCTCGGTGACACACAGATTCGCGCGACACGTATTTTATTCTCATCACAGTTTAAAGCGCTGTATTCGCGATTTAACGTTTTCGTTTCTGTGAAAATTATCTAAAATTCCTACATTTATTTACACTATCGTACATAATAATAATTGTAATAGTATTTACAGACTATTCTACTCGATACACTTTGATTGATTCTTAATCAATTTTAAATTCTTTCATCGGAAAATTTTTCCTAGATCCGCAATTTTTCTTTTTCTTTTTTACTTAATTTTCTTACATTAAATTTTTAACAAATTAAAATTTATTTGAAATTAAATGAATGAGATAAAGTTTTGTTACTTATTATCCTTGAAGCTGTATCATCAAAAATCTTTCGATTTTCAATGATTTATCATAGAATAATTATTGTTACCTCGATATTATTATTATTACAAAAACATTTGTCTGTAAAAACCATATATTAAAGGGACTCTGATGAATCTGGATTATACTACAGTAGAGCGGATGTCTAATTCTTTATACGAAGATTCGAAAGAGAAAAAAGGATGCATTCAATTTATGCAAATGAATGTAACGCGAATCGGATCAATAAGAGATCAGTGTGCGGATGTTCGCGGTTACTCGATACAGATTCTCGATAATGTAAGCACGCGCGATTATGCGCGTCATTCCCGAACGAATTGAGGGGCTATCACGAGCGGTATTATTACGGTTATCTCAAAAACGTGGGTCTCATTATAAAGTGAGATAAGATAATTGATCGACAGGTTCGGTCCATTCTCGCGCCGGATGATGTATAAAAGCGGCACGCTCGTCGACACGCTTACATGTCAGTACGTAATATCATCAACGCCACTAACAAGTTTATTGCGCCGAATTGATTGGAATAGAAGTTTACGGTGGCTTTTACGCTATCGGCGGACACCATCGCCGAGTTGCTCTGGTCGCCACTCAAATTTTAAATGAACGTTCGTTTAATGATGCGACGGATTTGTAACTCGCTTTGTAGGAGTCCTATCTTCGAATATCCTGTCATTAAAGTTCTGTGTGTATTCCAGATTCGCGTTTCTGAAAAACTATTTACATCTCGATATTTTGTTAAGAAAGACAAGCTCAATTCTCACCATCGATTAACTCGCAATATCTAGAACTAGGAATATGTATCTTCGAAAGAGCTTTTTCCAGAAGAATTCTCGATCCTTTAATTGTATAATTATTGGACTAGCAATTGGAAAACAATCAGAAAACGAATTAAACTTGATTTTGTGCAAAATTCACAAAATTAAACTAAATCGATTAAATCACCTCAGTCTGGTAATTATCATGTATGTATACTTATTATTAATGAAATTTATTAAATTGTTAACAAGATAATTTGTGTATGTGAAGTAATAAAAGGTTAATTTCTAGTTATCGTTATTAATGAGGGAATTTTTTCATATATGTTTATTAAACATCTTTTTATATTTTCTATATTCCTTCTTAAAACACAAATAAAATCAGAAAATAATGCTACGAAATGCTAGAATTATAAGAATTACACACAAACAAACACTGTAAATGTTCAAGTAATCCAAGATATAGAAAATATCTCGCTAAACGTATTTTGATTTTTACACGTTTTTGTACAGAGTACTCGATGTGGAGAGATGGCACCAGGAAGCCGGCCCCTTTAATATCATTCTCTGCCTGAATCTTCTCGATCGTTGCGACCGTCCAAACACCCTGCTGAGGTTACTGAGAACCTCGCTGGCTCCTGGCGGCAGGCTGGTTGTCGCTCTGGTGTTACCGTTCAGTCCCTATGTCGAGGTCGGCGAGAGGGGTAATCACAAACCGTCGGAGTATCTGCCGGTGCGAGGAAACGGACTCGAGACTCAAATAGCCGGACTGATCGACCGGGTTTTCGCTCCGGTGGGTCTGCGATGCCTTGTCTGGAGCAAATTGCCGTATCTCTGCGAAGGTGATTTGGGACAGTCGTACTACTTTCTAGACGATGTGATCTTCATACTGGAGGCGCAGCCAGTTAATACACGATCCTGCGAATTCGTCGCGATAGACGACGGTGTTTCGTTGCGAAGAAACTTTTAGGGTTTGAAGCCTAACGGGCTATGTACGGCGCGAAGAAAAAGGACGTAATCGGGAAGAAGGGGGGGTTTAAATGGAGATTAGAGGACAAAAGAGAGTGATACGAGACGATCCTTTCACACTTGTAAAAACTTTAATAATTGCTGTCATGAGTTAGAATTATGCGAGAATACAGAAGAGCAATACTGGCAAGCGACGACGAGCTTAATGTGCAGACACAGCGGTTAGCGTTTGGTGTACGAATATCGATTGGCGATCCGAGTTTAAAAAGGGAACAACGGATCGACATAACGGTGCGCATTTTACAATCTTTTATCATCTTACTGTTGAATTCGGTGCGGAAACGTGTACACGGTTTTCTATGGTATAGATAATAACGAGCGCGAGAATAACGAGATCCGGAAACGAAATCTGTATTTCTTCTTCTTATGCCTTTTTCCTCATGTGCTCGACTCCGTTCGAGAACGTCCTTCTAGAATCCAAGTCTTTGTGATATGTCTCGCTAATTATTTATAATGATGAATGATTAAATATTCTCAAAAAAGAATGTTAAAGAGACTCTATGTATGTGTGGGTGTATGTAGCGTCAGTCGCAGTGACACTGCAGCGATAAAGTTGATCTTTATAAAACGGGTAACACGAAAAACGAATCTTTTTAGACTAATAATAATTTAATTTAGAAACGTAAAATGGCGATGTTATTAAAGCTCAAAGTCTAGAGCGAATGTAATGGGGAGAGTAAAACTGTCTTACTGCAGTTTTGCGACTTTTGCTTTCAAAAAATAGACTCCTCATCACATATTTTGAGCAATTGTACGATTGTGTTCAAATAATTAATAGGCGAAGATGGACTATAGATTTATCTCGAACGCAGCCCCCGATGTCTCACGAAATTCTATTTTGCATGTCAGATCAACTCTTCTTCTCTCTCGTCAGACTCTGTTTCCGCGCTCCCTTTTCTCCGTTTGGCATAAGTTGCAGCGACTTAGTCATGGATATGCTTAATTGTGCGTCGGTTATATGACCGACCAATTGCGAGACAAACGATGATACGTTTGCATTTCTTTTTTTACGTAATAATAACTACTATAAGAAAAAAAAAAAAAATAAGTCCATCTAGTTATTGGAAATACACTTTGGTGTACAACAAGTTATCGTCGAATTATGAACCATATTGCAGCAGCCTCTTTATCAATATATATATATACGTATATATATGTCAACAAAAACGCAGTCTATAGAAGCCGGATCTGCGTTCGTTTAAACAATCACTATACTTAAAAAACAAATAAAAAAAACTGCTATTGAGAAAATTATTCGTCAGACTTATTAATCGTATCTCTGCATGCATCCTATTTCTAATTACAATAGATACAGAACGAAAATATTATAATATGAAAGATTAATAATCTGCCGAACAAGGAATCAAAAAGAAACAAAAGAAACATATTAATACTTTGCACAAATCATGGATCCGACTCCTAAAATGGTAATCGATCGGCACATTCGCTGCATACGTGTGTAGTAAATATAACAGATACATGTATAGAAAGACATCTTTAACATACGCGCATTCATATAAAATTTTGCTATTTGATAGCCAAAACTCCGCATTCTCTCTCAGATACACACATGCAGACTCCACAAAACACAGCCCACGCATTCGAGTGCCGCGCGCTATTTTCCATTCGCGGTACACATCGCTTCTTACACATTCAAAGACGAATGCCTATTACCTTACATTATCGAGAAAGAAGGAAACATTTTATCTCGTATCGTTTATATGCGCATATAACAACCGAGTGGGAAACGATTTTACTCCAGCAACTGTTACGATATGCCATTTATTCTCGAGGCAGCGATCGATCGAAATCACAAACGCAGTCCCCCAATTCGTAGTTTCTGTCTCTCGCAAGAATAAAAACGTTTCTGCATAATAATACTTAGTGCACGGTGAAAAGTCTTTGAGCGTCAATGCGAAATTCTCAACTGACGCAATGATTTTCGTTTCTTTTCCTTTACTATATATGTATGTAGATATATATATATATATTAAGAAATAATCTGTTTCTTAAAAAATATCTATGAATTGACCAATGACTTTTTTACGTGCACACCGCATATACTGCCCATGGAGCTTAAGAAATAGTTCACAGCTTTTAACATTCGTACTCGCATGCTCGATCAGCAAACAGTATTAGAAATAACAACAATATATATTCATTTTATCCTTAAAAATAAATAATAACGCATACGTACCTCTTTTTGGAGAAAATATATATACATAAATTGAACACACAGCAATTTTTTTTTTGCTAATTGAATAACTCTGCCTTATGTTAATTGAAAGCTACTATAAAGAATATATTATATCTTACAAAACAAACAGTTAAAAACATATAAAATAAAATAACGTGAAACTTGGTAATAAAGAAAATTGTCGTCTTTATGCATCTATCCTGCGAACGTTAAATATCAATTAGTAGCAAAAGCTTTTGTACCAGGCCAATTTAGTTTTGCTTCTTATTCCGAGACTTAAGCTTATATATGTGTAACAATTTTATACATAGTATATAAAAAAGTCCTATGCGATATATTATTAATCAGGTAATCATTGGAACACAAGCGGCAAAATTGTTAAATTGATATAGTAAAATATAAATACTGTTTATACTGCACGCGTATTACTTGCGTCGTAGCGTCAATCGCTCGACATTCGGTATATAACGCGGGTCGTTATATAACGTGGTATATAACGTTAGTCGATATATTATTCACCGAATAAGCCCCATAGGCAGAGCAATTACAATACAGTCAAATTACAGCGATGAAATAAAGTTAATAAAGATCCCTAAGATGACGCGGTGTGAGTTTAGTCCTACATATAAATCTTTTTTTTTCTCGCTACTCACGTTTATCACAGTCCACGCATGACTCATTTTGTCTCTTAGTATTTGAAGTCCTAAACGCCAACAACTTTTTTGAGCAATCCATCGGGTTGTTTAGATACGAAACACCCAGCTAATCAATAAACATCTTGTGACTAGAACATCATAGAGCGCAAAAAGACGAAACTTGGTCTGTCGCGAGTGAAGCGAAGACAACGCTTAATCTAACTTACGCTGCTCGCACAATTCTTCCATTCCACCCGCCTTTCTGTTAAAAAAAGAAAAAAAAACATTTTAATGGATTAACAATAGAGCTAAAGTTCGTAATGTTATAAATATTAAAACACTCACAATGTTGACAAATAAGGAGTACCAGAGTGATCTAATCGGTGTTTATCTTCATTCTTCCAGCTCGAAACTGGTATATGTGGAGGTGGCAAGAAGCTTCTCAACGATTGTACAAGCTGTATTGTATCGACCAATGCTGCAATTAAAAATAAACAATGTAAAAATCTCTGTAAGTTATTTTGATGAAGAAAATCGGTATAAAATTTCACAGTGCGATAAATTCAAGGTAAAAAAAAAGTAAGCAAGAAAAACTACTTGTAAAGAATTGAAATTACTTTTCTGCAGAGCCTCGGATTGCTTGCCGTATGGTTTGCACATCGCCGGTCGCACACAGGCTTTCATCCTTGCCATGTTCTTCATTACTTCTGCGAAAGCACGCACAATCTTCTCTTGACCACCTGAAACAATAAAATATATCCAGCACATGCATTAAAATATAATTTAAATGTTTTTTAGAATACATTTAAAAAGCGTGCATCATATCGCATATGTACGTTATGTTGTATACTTAATTACCTTCCGAATTTGCAGACGATGACCGAGATCCTTTTTCACTTTCTAAAGGCCATGCACCATTGTGCAGTGCTAACAGATCCTTATTGGCATTTCCTATTCCTTGTAAGTTTCCCAAACCAAGTCCAGTGAGATTGTCCAAGTTATCCAAATTATTGCGTAAGAAGTCTGTCAACTTATGATCGGAGATTTGTATATTAGGTATTAGAGATTCATAATGCTGCTTGCCAGATGACACTTTTTTCTCTTGCGATACAGGCCGATGCGGAATATTTAATGATGGACGGCTTGGAGGACGTTGAAGATTCATTTGATTACCAGCACCTCTCATCTCCGCTAAATCTGCTGCGGATCCTCCTCCCATATGTGTATTTGGATTAGCACTACCTAGTGTCTACAAGTAAACATGAAATAAATACATATATACAAATTAAATTAAAAAACTTAGCTTGCATATGAGCAAGTAAAAAGCAGAAAATATCACATAAGAATTTTACTCACTGCCTGAAAATCTGTACTATGTGGAAAACTGCTACGCAAAAGAGATGCAGTCGCTTCATTTTCCTGGATATAAGTTGGTGCCATGTGACCCATTTTCTGAGTGAGTTCCAGTTGATTTTTGTAATAACGACAAGCGGGATTGGGACAGTTTTGCACGACTTCTATAATAAATTCCTTATGGTATAAGATTCCATGACTGCTCTGACTGTACCCTCCAAGCCCAGATGTAAGCCATGCGGCCCATTCATATGTTTCAACATGACAGCATTGGCAAAGTGTTCATAGGGAAGTATTATCTTTCCATTCTCTCTGAGGACTAGTCTTCCCTGCGAATCCAATGCTACTCGAGATGCCATCATCCTGTAAATAAATGAAACATAACAAATATTTCACATAAATAAGTTGTGTTTATATATAATTACAAAATAATATTTATCCTTACTGTAAATAAGCAGCGCTTGGCATCATGGAAGCATCCTTAAATTCTGAAAAACATTGTAGCAGCTCGATACTGGGATTCCATCCCTTATTCTGCAAGTATGCTTGTAACAACATGTACATCTTCTCGGTGACGTAACCAGCACTGCTTGGTGCAGCAGAGTAACCTGACCCTCCACCTGGTGGACCCATTTCTGTTTGCATACCTTTGGCAACAATGTTCTTCATAGTTTCCGCCAAGTCCATTCTGCATGCATACACAATTGGATACATAAACTTTTTGACGCAACAAAATCTCTTTATGAATATAAATAAGTTCTCTTAATATATTCATATAAAATCGTAATATTTAATACCACACTTGTGTGTAGTATAAAAAAGACATGATCCTGAGAGCACAGGGGTACCTATACATAATAAATAAAAAAATAAACATACACAAATATAGGCATTTAATGGTCAGCCAACGATCGATACACGCCTCGATAATTCCCCGTTCACCCGTTATCGCGCGCGATTCCACGACTCGAAAGAGAATCGTCGGGATCTCGCCGGTGAACGTCAGCGGACATTATCGAGGACATTGACGCGCTGAGATTCCAGCTATACGGAACTCTAGTACAGTGCCTCATCGCGATGCCGCCCATCGAGATTACCGAACGCGCCAACGAGTCAGCCGTCGACGACGGTGACACGGCGCGATCATACATCATCGTCGTCGTCGAGCGTCCGGAGCGACGCCGAGCGCGCTCGCCGCAGCCCGCGGCTCTCTCGGCACGGCCATTGTTATCATCCCGAAGCGAGCCGGCGGAACCGATAAAAAAGTGCTCGGCCGCGAGCGAGCCACCGCCCCCCTTCCGACAACGCGCAAGGGGGGACCGCAACGTACTCTCGGAGTAGTACACTCACCCCGTATCGCGGCCGCCGCTGCTCCACTCACGTGGCGTAACCGGATAGTAGCCCGAGAAGCCCGTCCGTCTCGTCGCTAATCGCCGTTACTCGGCATCGCCTAATTAATTAAGCGCCCCCGGATCACATTTGCAAATAACATAAATCGCGATAATTATTTCCGCGAGGGTCACTTGCACGGTCCGCCGCCAGGGGCGCCCCGCGTTCTACGCGCTTTTCGGCTTCGGCATATTCGTGTGCGTGCTCGTGTGGATCCCGTATATGTGCATGTATACGTGCGCGCGGCCCGGGTTACGTGCGTGTGCGCGTACACACGGGCGATCCGGCTGCGCTTACGCGACGCCACTTTGCGCATTTATCAATATTACTTTTTGCAATTGATATATTACGCCGCCCTACGACCGGACCGGCACGCCACGCCGTGCGACGAATTAAACCGCGTGCCCGCGCGCGCGCGCGCACCCGTCTCATCTCACTGCTCCGAAATTGCGCGCGGTCGTTGAACCCTGCGAATTGCTTCCCAAACGCGACGTCGGTGCAAAATCGAGCGTTATGTTGAAAAAATTACCACTATGATGACATAATACAATGATTATATATTACAAAATCTACAAACCTTTTGTAAAGACTCTTTTCTGTTAATTATACAGGATGTCCCAGAATTAGACTCTGACAAACTTCAGGTGGTTATAAAGGACACCAAAACAAGCTAATTTTGCCAATAAATTCGTGTCCGCAAATGAGCCGTGGCTAACAAGGGAACCTCGCAAACCCAAAAATTCCGATTTTGATGAAACTTTACACACATGTAGAGGGGGGGGGGATATAAATTTAGAAATTTTCTGCTACCGCCCAAAAGCGATTTTGAAGAGTGGAATCACTTCTTATGTGTCTAACGGGTTTTTGCTTTTCTCGATGTATTTCGAAAATTGTTCAAGATATTAAAAAATGTTTTATACAAAAATTTTATGGTAAAAACAACTCTATTTAACT